AGTAAATCTCAGAATACTGTGTATATCTTCATAGATTTGATAGAGAGAGGATGGGGTCTGCCAGAGTGGAGAAAATAAAGGAATGATTAAGTTTGGGACTTTGACGAGCTTGACAGGTGTTCCTTTTATATTTTTTTCTAATTTATTATTTTTTAGAGATTTTTGTTTGTTTGTTTGTTTTGTTTTAGGGCACATGTGCTTGCCAGAGAAACAGAGAGAAGTTGAGAAATTACACCCCAGGGAGGATGGCCGTTACAATTCCTTCTCCTCTGCTCTCCCACAAGTCCTCTTCCACTCTCCTCTCAGGATTTTGTGTACACATGTGCCCAGTATGCTTTTATTATTATTATTATTATTATTTTAAAGAATTATTTGTTGGGGGCTAGCAGGCAGCATGGTGGTTAAAGGGGTGGGCTCCCACATGGCCTGCTGATGTAGTCAAATCAGTGAGAAATAAGAGGACATCCAGACATGGCCAAATCATTAGATTTTTTAAAAATAATTATTTTATTCATTATCATTATTTTATTTTATTTTTTAAGTTGACCAGAGAGAGACAGAGAGAGAGAAGGAAAGTGAGAAAGCAAGCTGCCAGGTCCAGGACTCAAACCATAGTCAGCCACATGGGAGGCCAGCCGCCTTAACCACCACTCCACTTGCCAGCCCCAATTATTAGATTTTTATTGCTGTTGGCTGACAGGAGGACTCATGTCTCTCCAAGACCCCACAGCTCTAAGGGAAAGGAGACAGGTACTTATAAAGGCAAAAATCACAATCATTTCTGGGTTGACCTGGTGATTACAATGGAAAATAAGAGGGGAATGAAGAAAGGGAGTGGGGTTCCTATGTGACAACAGCTACAGAAGCTAAATCAAGCTAGTTAATAATTCTTTTCTTTTCTTTTCTGGAGAGGTTTTTACTATAGAGTGCGTGCACTTACCATAAAGACAGAGAGACAGAGAGACAAAAGGTGAGAAATCACCCCCCAACAGGGATGGCCATGCTGCAATCCCTTCTCCTCTATTCTCCTCTCAGGATCTTGGGCATGCACACACATGCGCCCAGCGTGAGTTTAAGCCACCAGGTCTGGAACTCGAACCACGGTCAACTACATGGGATTCCAGTGACATAGCCATTATGCTAACTGGTGGTCCCAACAGATTAATAATTTCTAAGGTCACTCTCTAGACCTTTGTTTAATGGTCCCTATGCCAGGGGTGTGGTAGATAGGTTGATAAGGAACATCTAAAAAAAAGTTTCTGGCTAGTTAGCAAAGACAGACTATTTTTTGTTTTGTTTTGTTTTTAAGAGGTTTTTGCTATAGGGTGCGTGCACTCTCCAGACAGACAGAGAGAAATCACCTTCGGGGGAGGGGGGGGGATGGCCACGCCACAATCCCTTCTCCTCCATTCTCCTCTCAGGATCTTGGGCACGCACACACGCCAGGTGTGAGTTTTAAGCCACCGGGTCCAGGACGCGAACTGTGTTCGACTACATGGGAGTCCAGTGATGTAGCCATTACTCTAACTGCTGGTCCCACAGTAAGACCATTGATGACTCTATTAACTCTGAACAAAAGGAGGAAGCAAGCATAATGTCAAGTTCAGAGATGAAGGTGCTTCTGTTTCACTGTCATGGTTTGATTCCCAGACCTGGTGGCTTGCTTTCTCATTTTCCCTCTCTCTCTCTTTCTCTGGTCAAATAAAAAAAAAATAATAAATAAATCCAATGAAAGAATTTTAAGACAAGAATACTAGTGACCAACTTTAAAAAATTATCTTTTAAAATTAAAGATAAGTTCATTAAAATAAAATTAATTTTACTTAATTTTTTTTTTTTTGGAGAGATTTTCACTGTAGGGCGTGTGCGCTCGCCAGACAGACAGAGAGAGACATAGAGACAGAAAGCGAGAAATCACCCCCCAGGGTGGATGGTCACGCCGCAATCCCTTCTCCTCCATTCTCCTCTCGGGATCTTGGGCACGCACGCACACGTGCCCGGTGTGAGTTTTAAGCCACCGGGTCCGGGACACGAACCGCGGTCAACTACGTGGGAGTCCAGCAACATAGCCATTACGCTAACTGCTGGTTCCCTTAATATTATTTTTTAAAGAACATTTTTATTTTAACTTTATTTATTTAATTAATTCATTTAATTTCTTTTCTTTTTTTTTTTTTGGAGAGGTTTTTCGCTATAGGGTGCGTGCACTCACCAGACAGACAGAGAGAGACATAGAGACAGAAAGTGAGAAATCACCCCCCAGCGGGGATGGTCACGCCGCAATCCCTTCTCCTCCATTCTCCTCTCGAGATCCTGGGCATGCACGCACACGCGCCCGGCATGAGTTTTAAACCACCGGGTCCGGGACGCGAACTGCGGTCGACTATGTGGGAGTCCAGCGACAGCCATTACGCTAACTGCTGATTCCCCATTTAATTTAATTTTTAATTTGACCAAAGAGGGACAGAGTGAGTGAGAGAGAGAGAGAGAAAGCAAACTCTGCCAGGCCTAGGACTTGAACCATGGTCGGCAATATGAGAGTCCAGCACCCTTAACGACCATGCCACCTATCGGCCGCTTAATATTATTATTTTTCAATTTGCTATAGGGCACATGCACTCACCAGAAAGAGACATGGGTGGCATGGTGTTTGGCTGCTAGATTCTCCCATCGGACATGGTGGTTTGCTTTCTTACTTTCTGTCTCTCTCTAATGAGTGCCCTATAGCAAACTGAACTCCCATATGGCCGACTGTGGGTTGACCATGCTGGGCAATCCCTTCTCCTCCATTCTCATTTGGACACTCATACACGCACGCCTGGTGTGAGTTTTAGTTTTAGGCAGCCAGGTCCAGGTCTGGAAGTGTAGTCCACTTCGTGGGAGTCCAGTGATATAACCATTACACCACCTGCCGGTCCCAGAAGTCCAATGCCTTAACCACTGTACTACCTGCTGACTCCAACAGGGGTTCTATTGTAGAAGACCAGTGTGGCTGGAGTGTATTGAGAGGTTTTCAGCTTCTAGGAGATTTCTTGTTGTTTTGATGGGAAGAGAAAAAAAAAAAAACATTTCTTAAGTAATATAGGACATAATTGCAAACAACAATGTGTAAAGAACTTGTCACCACAGTTCACATCTAGTCTTTGAAATGAGTAAGGAGTTTGCATCAAAAGTGAAACTGGGCGTGGGGCCGGCAAGTGGCATGGTGGTTAAAGGCGCTGGACTTCCACATGGCCGACCAAGGTTCAAGTCTTGCTTTCTCACTTCTTCTCTGTCTCTCTCTCTCTCTGATCAAGCTGGAAAATAATAATGATGATGGGAAAAAATAAAGTTAAATAAAATAATTCTTAAAAAAAAAAGTGAAATTGGGGGCCAGCCAGTGGTGTGGAACTTAAGGCGCTGGATCCCACATGGCCAAACTTCACAAGTCCCAGCAGTTTGAAAACTGGGGCTCGGGGGAGGGGAATTGTACATGTGTGCCCTTAATTCTGAAGAGGTTATTACTACTTGTGGACAGAAGTCTGACTACTTTTTCCTATTTTTCCAAAGTCCTTTCCAGAGGGTCTAGGGGGAGTCACGGCCACAAACATTGACCATTTTTTCCCATTAACAAGATTCGTCCTACAACCTGTCCCTGGCATAATATCTTTGAGATGTATATTTCAACTGATTATAATATATTCTTTTGCTTATCTCTTCCCAAGACACAAAACTTCCCTTTCCTTGAGATATAGATTAAACATTTCTTTTACAAATCTCTTCCCAAGACACAGATATTCTCTTCCAATCACCAACCTAAACATTACAAGCTCCCGCTTCCACATGTCCTGCCTTTTTGGGCCAGATCAATAACAACCTTTTCACTAATTTTGTCTGTCACTCTCAAAATAAAAGAAAAGAAAAAGCCCCTATACCTGATCACCCTAAAAATGACATGTTTGCCTCCTCTCTGGGCCTAGGTCACTCATATTCTATTTTTTTTAAAAATCACATTAATTATTGATTTCAAAAAGTTGGTTATTTTCTGTCAACATACTGTTATGCACATTTTTTTGGAGGGCTTTTTGGGAGTGTTCCGTTGTTCTTTTTTTTTTTTTTTTTTGCTATAGGGTACATGAGCTCACCAAAAAAACAGAGAGAGACAGACAGAAAGCAAGAAATCACCCCCCACCCCCACCCCGGGAGGGGGGATGGCCACACTGCAATCCTTTCTCCTCCAGGGATTTTGGGCATACACACACATGGCCTGGCATGAGTTTAAACCTTCAGGTCTGGTGGACTATGTGGGAGTTCAGCAACGTAGCCATTGCTATCTGCTGGTCCCTGTTCTGCACATTTTGCCTATTCATTTCTTTTTATTGACCATGTTCTTTCCATGAAGGCAGGCTCCATGAGAGCAGAGTTGTTTTTACCTTTTTTGTTCACAACTGTATCTCTAGAGCACAGAACAGTGCCTGACACACAGTTAAACGAATTCTGTGTACCACTGCCTACTAAACTGGTGAACTGTTTGGCAGGTTGACTCAGTAAGGAAGAGCAGAAGCTTTCATTAATTGATTCATAAATACTAAGTTATTTAGCAGCAACCACTGTTTTAGGCACCAGAATGCATAGAAAAATAGAACATGGCTCTTGACTTCTTGAAGATCACAGTTAAATAGGGGAGACAGTGAAATCAATCATTCAGTGAGTTAAGGCCATATAACCTAAGTACGAATGATGTGTTCTGGTTGCATTAAGGAAGAAGCACTTCTCAGCTTCCCAAGATCAGGAAAATTGAAAGATGCTTATAAGGTAAACAGGCAGGCTCTCCCAACTCCTGCCACGTGAAGGTCTGAAGGTCTGCCGGATGTCTCTGATCTGAAAGACAATGATGCCCGGAGGCCCCAGCTGAGTCCTAAGGGTGCGGGGTGGGACGCGGCGCGGAAGGAGCTGGAGGCGGAGCCGGGACCCGCCCACGGGTGACGTCACCGAGCCTCCCTCCCGTGAGCACTCACGCGGGCGGCGGTTCGCGCGCCTGCTGGGGGTTGGGGGAGCTTCGGGGAGCTTGAGCGCGTCATGGCGGCCGGAGGGCCTCAGGCTGGTGGCTCCGTGAGTGCTGCCCTCTGTTTCTTGTCCCTTTTTTATTTTTGTCTGTCTCAGATTTTCTTTCTTCTCCTGGCCCCTCCATCGTGTCTCTCTGCCCTCCCTGACCTGCTGGCTGCGCCCGGGCCGGGGTGAGGAGCCTTGCGAGGATTCCCTCCCACCTCTTACTATTTAGTTGTGCGACTGTTTTTATTCCTTCGTCCAAGCCGCGCCTCCTGTGAGCCTTAAACACGGCCGTTCACTCTGTTAGGGTCCAAGCCCAGTCGGAATCCGGAGCAGACTTTCGGGCTTTGAATTTTTGGAGGAGACCGCTGACACAACTGTAGGGGAAAAGGGCAACTGGAAATCGGGAAAAGCTTCTGAGACCCAAAGTGTATATACGAGTTAGCAAGTAAAAAAGTGATGCTGCAAAGCGGAAGCAAACGCAAGTTCAAAGGCGGGAGATAAAACAGGTGTCTGAAAAACTCAAGTTCAGTTGGACGGTGGTGGAGAGGTATGAGCTGACAGCCTCTTAAGTGTTGCCGAGCAGCGATTTTTTGTTTGTTTTTGTGTTTTGGAGAGGTTGTTGCTATAGGGCGAGTGCGCTCGGCAGAAAGACAAGAGATGAGGGAACCAGCAGTTAGCGTAATGGCTATGTCACTGGACTCCCACGGAGTCGACCGCGGTTGGTGGCCCGGAGCCGGTGGCTTAAAACTCCCACCGGGCGCGTGTGCGTGCGTGCCCAAGATCCCGAGAGGAGAATGGAGGAGAAGGGATTGCGGCGTGACCATCCCCCCTGGGGGGAATTTCTTGCTTTCTGTCTCTATGTCTCTGTCTGTCTGGCGAGCGCACGCGCCCTATAGAGAAAAAGAGAAAACCACGACCCTAAAAAAAAAAAAGAAAAAACCTCCCAAAAAAAAAAAAAAAGACAGAAATGAGACAGAGATAGAAAGTGAGAAATCACCCCCCAGGGGGGATAGCCACGCTGCAATCCCTACTCCTTCATTCTCCTCTTGGGATCTTGGGCACAAACGCACGTGGGCCTGGCGTGAGCTTAAGCCACGCGCCGGGACTCAAACTTGAGCAGCGATTTTTAACATGAGGATAATTGCGAACTATTGGCGATTGTTAAGCACATTGGGTAAGATTTGGATTTTTGTTTACTGGGATAGCAGCGTGGCCTGTGGACTGGAGCGTGCCAGTTAGAAAGCTATGGTAGAAGACAGTGTGAGAGAATGGTGACCCTGACCATAGCAGTAATGGTGAGGTTCCAGAGTTGATGACAAAAAGATATTAAGATAGAATGGACGGTCTTGTGTAGAGAAAGGAACGAGTTAAGAAGGACATCCAGATTTCAGAGTAGAGTAAGTATTAATATTTGGTTGAGAAGCTATTTGCTGTTAGTGAACATAGCACTAGACGACTGCTGTAGAGGAATTGGTATTATGAAAAGTATAGGGTTGGGAACCAGCAGTTAGCGTAATGGCTATGTCGCTGGACTCGCACGTAGTCGACCGCGGTTCGTGTCCTGGACCGGTGGCTTAAACCTCACGCAGGGCGCGTGTGCGTGCGTGCCCGAGATCCCGAGGGGAGAATGGAGGAGAAGGGATTGCAGCGTGACCATCCCCCCTGGGGGGTGATTTCTCGCTTTCTGTCTCTATGTCTCTGTCTGTCTGGCGAGCGCACATGCCCTACAGTGAAAATCTCTCCCAAAAAAAAAAAAAAAAAAAAGTATAGGGTTGGGGCCAGCAGATGTCCCTGGACTCCCACATGGTCCACTGTGGTCTGAGTCCCAGACCTGGCGCCTTGCTTTCTCATTTTCTTTCTCTCTCTCCCTCGCTGTCGCTCTCTGATGAGCACAGGTTTCTTGTAGGAAATTAAAATAGTAATAATAATAATTAATAAATAATTATTTTTTTAAAAGCATTCAGTCTTGGGCATGCGTGCTGCTTGTAGGTTGTCCATGAATTCGGTAGAGAAATAGGATTAAAGTTCTGAAGAGAGATCTCAACTAAGGTAGAGATCTAGGAATAATCATCTTCTATTTATGGCTGTTAAAGCCATGCAGTGCATGGAAAGAGTATAGTGTTCTTTTTTTATTAGAGAGATTTTTGCTATAGTGAGCTCACTGGAGAGACAGACAGAAGAAAGAAATCGCCCCCCAGGGGAGATGGCCCCAACGCAGTCCCCTTTTGGGATTTTGGGCATACATGTACACATGCCTGGTGTGAGTTTTAAGCTACCAGATTCAGGACTTGAACCACAGTCAACTATATGGGAGTCCAATGATGTAACCATTATACCATCTGCTGGTCTCAAGGGTTTTTAGTGTTCTTAAACTTCAGCCTATATCAGGATTTTTGCTATAGGGAGCGTGTGTTCAACAGAAAGACAGACATCCCCCGGGGGGATGGCCGCGCGGGCAATCCCTTCATTATGTTTACACATGCGCCCAGCATGAGTTTAAGCCACCGGGTCATCCTGGACCCCTAGACTGTGGTCTACATGGCAGTCCAGTGACATAACCATTACACCAACTGCTGGTCCCCAGCCTATATCAGTATTAATCTGGGGAGCTTATATAAAATACATTTACCCCTCCCTACTCCCCCATTTCCCTACTCCCCCACCCCCATCCCCATGATCACTTTCTAATTCAGTAAATGAAATGCATGAATTTGCCCTTTCACATTGAGGTAGTGATATAATTTTGAATAATACTCAGCACACCAAATAATGGACAGGCAGTCAGAGGAATAGAAGCTAACAAAGAAGACAGAGAGGAAGGCAAAAAGTGTGAGAGTGGATTGTGATTATTTAGTTCCGAATGATGGTTTGGTCAAGTGTCTACAGCTCTAACCACAAATAAGAGTGTTTGGCATAGGTGAGGTGAAGGTCACTGGTAAGCCTGTCCACAAGGACGGTAAAGTCATATAGAAATGGTAGACTGGCTTTATTAATTTTTTTTGGAGAGATTTTCGCTATAGGGCGCGTGCGCTTGCCAGACAGACAGAGACATTGAGATAGAAAGCGAGAAATCACCCTCCAGGGGGGATGGTCACGCTGCTATCCCTTCTCCATTCTCCTCTCCGGATCTTGGGCATGCATGCACACACGCCCGGCGTGAGTTTTAAGCCACCGGGTCCGTGACGCAAACCGCGGTCGACTACGTGGGAGTCCAGTGACATAGCCATTAAGCTAACTGCTGGTTCCCTGGCTTTTCAAGTTGCTAAAGATTAACTGAATGTGAGAGGATCAGCAGTTAGCATAATGGCTATGTCGCTGGACTCCCGCGTAGTCAACTGTGGTTTGAGTCCCGGACCGAGTGACTTAAACTCACACTGGGTGCATGTGCGTGTGTGCCCAAGATCCATGGAGGAGAAGGGATTGCGGCGTGGCTATCACCCCAGGGGGTGATTTCTCATTTTCTGTCTCTGTCTCTCTCTGTCTTTTTTGCAAGCACATGTGCCCTATAGCAAATAAATAAATGAATAAATGAATAAAGTTAAAATAATCCTTTAAAATTTTTTAAAGTATCTTTTTTATTTTTCTAAGGATTATTTTATTTAACTTTATTTATTTCCTTTTTTTTTTTAATTTAATTTGACCAGAGAGAGACAGAGTGAGAGGGCAAGAGTGAGAAGGCCAGCCACCAGGTCTGGGACTCCAATTATGGTTGGCCATGTAGGAGTACAGCGCCTATAACCACCACACCACCTGGCGGCCCCATAAATAAAATTTTTTTTTTTTTTGAGAGCTTTTTGCTATAGGATGTGTGTACTCACCAGAAAGAGAGACAGAGAGACAGAAAGTGAGAAGTCACCCCCTGGGGGGGATGGCCACGCTACAATCTCTTCTCCATTCTCCTCTCAGGATCTTGGGCACACACACACATGTGCCTGTTGTGAGTTTAAGCTACCAGGTCTGTGACTTGAACCGCAGTCGACTACACCGGAGTCCAGCGACATAGCCCTTATGCCAACTGCTGGTCCCAGTAAAATATTTTTTTAAAAAATAGAAAATAAGAAAAAGGAAATTATTAAAAATTGTACTTTCAGGGTGCCACAGCAAAGGATGTTTGCACTCACTAGAAACACGGGGAGAGTGAGAGAGAGAGAAAGAACTTGCCCATGGCACATGACTCTATTTATCCACACTGTCAGGATTTGGGGCACATGTGCACATGTGCCTGACATTTTTCAAAGCACTTGGTGGACCATGTGAGACTCAACTGCCTTAATCACTAGGCTATTGGGCTGACCCTGAACTGAAGACTTAAGGTTTTTTCCAAATTCTAAACTCTCTAATTTTGTTTTTCATTTCATGTGTCCTCTGGATTGTTTTTTTCCTATTCCTTTATTCTTCTCAAATGTTTCCTTGTTGGGTAGGATAGTCATAAAAATGTCTTAACTGAATTCCCTTTCCTTAGGAGCAAGCCTGGCTTGAGACTGCCCAGACCTTTATCCAAGAGACCCTGTGTCCACCTGACAAGGAGCCTAACATCCAGTTGTCTCAATTGGTAATTGATTGTGTGAAGACTGTCTGGTCGTCTCAGGGAAGGAATCAGGGTTTTACACTGCCCCTCAGCTACAGGTAAGATGTGGTTGTTAAGGGGAGGTTAATTTTGGGTCTGAGAAGGAAGGACCTACAATAAGAAGGGGAAGTAAGAGTGAGTGAAAGACAAGGTGGTCTAAACACATTCCTTCTCCAAAGTTTTCCTATTCTCCATCAAGCTTTCCTTTTCCTGAAATTTCTACTAAATTAGCTTAAGTCATGTTTAGTAAAAAAGAGAGGAAGTAAGATGAATATGGGAAGATAAAAATTTTAGAAAAAGAGCTCTCAAATTGGGGAGTGTAGCTGATATTATTTTCATTTTGTATATTAGGGAACAGATACAGAGAGATGTCTAACTTCATAAGTGAAGATCACTGTTTAAGAAGATTTGAATTTAGGGCTGGCAGGTGGCATGGTAGTTAAGGGCACTGGACTCTCACATGGCCAAATGCAGTTCAAGTCCTGGACCTGGTGGTTTGCTTTCTCACTATCTCTCTTTGTCCCTCTCTGGTCCAATTAAAATAAATAGATAGTAAAGTTAAGTAAAATTATTATTTAAAAAGGAAAAATAAAAAGACTTGAATTTAAGGTCTTTTTTTTTCCTAGGGAGACTTTTGCTAAAGAGCATGTGCACTCGCCAGAGAGACAAAAAGCAAGAAATCACTCCCCAGGGTGTTGGCCACAATCCCTTCTCCATTTTCCTCTTGGGATTTGGGCACACAGGCACATACACCAGGAGTGAGTTTTTTTGTTTGTTTGTTTGTTTGTTTTGTTTTGTTTTGTTTTGTTTTGTTTTAGAGAGATTTTTGCTATAGGGTGCGTGTGCTCATCAGAAAGACAGAGAGAGAGAGACAGAGAAACAGAAAGCAAGAAATCACCCCCTTGGGGGATGGCCACGCCCCAATCCCTTCTCCTCCATTCTCCTTTTGGGATCTTGGGTGAGCACACACACACCTGGCGTGAGTTTAAGCTACCGAGTCTATGACTTGAACCACAGTTGACTATGTGGGAGTCCAGCGACATTACCATTATGCCAACTGCTGGTCCCATGAGTTTTAAGCTGCCAAACCATGGTCAACTACACAGGAGTTCAGCAGTGTAACTATTATGCCATCTGGTGGTCCTGATAATTGATTACTTATATCATATCCAGCTCCTACTATCTGAACCTCAGCTTTCCAGCCAGTCTCTAGTACTGATATTATAGACTAGGAAGGAAACTTGGCTGGGCCCTTGAGCTCCAGCTGTTAGCAGGTACCTAAGGGGCCCTATTGGAGTTCTCTATGGAGCTAAGAACTAAGATGCTTTCAAGGGAGTCGTTTGTGGTATTTATGAAGTGTTCACCCTATACACACATCCCCTCTTGCATGCCCACTTCATTTCTCCAGATCCTTTCCCTGCACCATATTGATCAAAATATACAGCAGAGGGACCAGTAGTTGGCATGGCAGTTTAAGGCACTGGACTTGCATGTGACTGACTGAAGTTCAGGTCCTGGACCTGGCGGCTTGCTTTCTTTTTTATTTTATTTTATTTTTGGGGGCAGGGAAGAGATTTTTGCTACAGGGCGCATGTACTCACCCAGGAGACAGAGAGAGAGAAAGCGAGAAATCACCCTTGAGGGGGAATGGTGGCCACACTGCAGTCCCTTCTCCATTCGCCTCCTGGGATCTTCAGCATGCATGTATATATAGCCGTAAGTCTGCCATGTGGGATATGGACTTTCTCCAGACAGTAGTTAACTGCTGCACTGCAGGGCTGGACCAATTATGTCTAAATTTTAGAGTTGTTTGGGGCAGAGAAATTAGTCCCCCAGAATCTCAAGTCATTAGTACATATGGAAGTTTGCTGTTCCTTTTTTTTTTTTTTAATAATTATTTATTTTATTTTATTTATTCATTCATTTATATTTTAGTTTGAGCAGAGAGAGACAGAGGGTGAGAATGAGAGAGAGAGAGGAAGTGAGAAAGCAAGCCACCAGATTCAGGACTTGAACCCTGGTCGCCCATGTGGGAATGTTCAGCGCCTTAACCATCATGCCACCTGCTGGTCCCAATCATTTTTTCTTTGAGAGATTTTTGCTATAGGGCAGGTGTGCTTGCCAGATAGAAAGCAAGAAATCATTTCCTCAAGAGGGATAGACATGCCACAGTCCCTTCTCTGTTATCCTCTTGATTTTGGCATTGCACGCACATGTGCCTGAGCAGGAAATCAACCCCCAGGGGGGATGGTCACGCCTGCAATCCCTTCTCCTCCATTCTCCTCTCGGGATCTTGGGCACGCACGCACAGGCGCCCCGCATGAGTTTAAGCCACAGCCACGACCTCCACCTGCAGGGCACTCCCGGGCCCAGTGGCCAGAGTGGCGCAGGCCGGGTGGGCGGCGCACACGGCAGCGGCTCAGATCTAAGTTCCTTAATCACCATACTATGGACTATCTTTCCTCCTCATTTTCTGAGACCTTTATGTCCATTTTCTCCTTCAGTCTGTCAAATATACTCACCTTGGGGGACCGGCAGTTAACGTAATGGCTATGTCGCTGAACTCCCATGTAGTCAACTGTGGTTCGTGTCCCCGACCCGGTGGCTTAAAACTCATGCTGGGCGCGTGTTCGTGCGTGCCCAAGATCCCGAGAGGAGAATGGAGGACAAGGGATTGTGGCATGGCCATCCCCCCTGCAGGGTGATTTCTCACTTTCTATCTCTCTCTCTCTGTTTGTCTGGCAAGCACATGTGCCCTATAGCAAAAACCTCTAAAAAAAAAAAAAAAATACACTCACTGTGGGACCAGAAGATGGCATAATGGTTACGTCCCTGGACTATCACATAGTCGGTCACAGTTCGAGGTCCCGGACCCTGGTGGCTTAAAACTCACGCCAGGCATGTGTGTGTGCATGTCCAAAGTCTAGGAGGAGAACGGAGGGAGAAGATATTGTGGTGGCGTGGCCATTCTTTCTGGAGGGTGATTTTTCATTTTCTGTCTTTCTGGCGAGTACACATGCCAAAATCCCTCTTTAAAAAAACTCACCTCTTAGTCTGTGTTTCCCATGACCTTCTGTGGGCTCTTGTTAATATGTTAGAGTTGAGGATAACCTCCTACACTTGGACCTAACTTTGCTTGACCTTTGCATTCTTCACCCTACAGCTTTGTCTCAGTACAAGACCTCAGGACCCACCAGCGTCTCCCGTGCTGCAGTCATCTGTCCTGGAGTAGTAGTGCGTACCAGGCTTGGGCTCAAGAGGCTGGACCAAATGGGACTCCTCTCCCCCGGGAGCGGCTTTTACTTTTAGGGACGCTAACAGACCTATCAGGGGACTTGGAACAAGAGTGCAGGAATGGAAGCCTCTATGTGAGGGATAACACAGGAATCCTGAGCTGTGAGGTGAGTGAAAATGGGAAGATTAGATGGTCAGATCCTTAAAAGAAAGATGTCTAGGGAGCAAGCCAGTGAAGTCTCTGAGGGAACAGAGGTAGAGAGGGATAGATTGGTTGCTAGGATCCTGGTTAACCATTGCTCTGTTTCTCTTGTTTTTGTTTTGTTTTGTTTTAGAGGTTTTTGTTATAGGGCGCGTGCGCTTGCCAGACAGTCAGAGAGAGACAGAGAGACAGAAAGTGAGAAATCACCCCCCAGAGGGGATGGCCACGCCGCAATCCCTTTTCCATTCTCCTCTCAGGATCTTGGGCACGCATGCACACGTGCCTGGCGTGAGTTTTAAGCCACCGGGTCCGGGACACGAACCACGGTCAACTACGTGGGAGTCCAGCAACACAGCCATTACACTAACTGCTGGTCCCCGTTTCTCTTGGTTTTTACCAGCTCATAGATCTGGACCTTTCTTGGCTGGGCCATCTCTTTCTGTTTCCCAGTTGGAGTTACCTCCCTCCTGCCAGGTGGAATTCCTCAAAGGAAGGGCATTTGGAGCTCTGGGATGCCCCTGTGCCAGTGTTTCCTTTCTCCATCAGTCCTGGACCTCTCACGCCTATCCCTGTCCTCTACCCAGAGGTTGCTTCCCGCCTGCTCAGGCACAGGTAAGTTATTCTCTCTCTCGGGGAGGAGGGAAAAGTGGAAGGAGGGTAGGAAAGGTTTTGCTAGTAATATAGCTGAAATGTTCCAAACTGAGAGAACAACAGGGCCTTGAGTATTAAGAAGCTTAAGAGAATGGTTCTTCAAAGAAAATGTCCCTGTGTAAAGGTAAGAAGAAGGTGGAGGTTTTTCAAATGGGCTATAGACACTTTACCTCACTACCAGACCATTCTTTATAGTGGGAGGGAAGACTTTCTAGAAATAAGAGTGACTTTTTCTCTCCTCTTCCTTCCTTCCTGGAAGCAAGCACAGAGTTGTACAGTCAAACCTGGCAGGGAAGCTGGTTCGGTTGAGTGCTCTGGTAAAAAGTCAGCAGAAAGCTTACTTCGTCCTGTCTCTTGGTGGATCATCCCCAGCTGTCAGCCACGTGTCCATCGTTGTACAGGTGAGAATATGGATTAGAGTCAAATTCAGAGGCATGAGGAGGTGTGGTTTCCCTTGGTTTAATCAAGTGTTTTATTTTTTTTTTCTGAATGCGCAGTTGGTTGTGCCTGTTCTTGAATCTTCACAAGCAGCTGGGGCATCTCCACCCTTGGTATTTCTGGTGTAATTTACTTGAGTAAATTGCTCTTAAACTAGTTTGTTAAGTCCTTTACTAAGGACCTCCTGAAGTTCTGCCCTGGCAAGGGAACCAGAAATCTTCAGCCTCTGAGACCACAGCTGGGTTTATAAGCTTATAATAATTAGGATCTTCCTTTCAGAGTTTGTCCTATGTGGCCTTGTCAAACAAGATGCGGATATTGAGCTCGTCCCGAACTCTGGCTTTGGACCACTTCTTTTTGGTCTTGCCCCCAGATTTGTTCACTGGGTCTTTGTCCTTGCTGACTTCTGGGTTCTTTCTTCTTGTCCTCCTTGGGTGGCATTGCGAAGCCTGGAGAACAGCAGCAGCCACCACAGCCTTACTAAGATGTTGGACAGAAAGGAGGACGGGTGTTAGAACTCTTAATGGGAAAGATAACATCATGGGAGGAACTGTATTGGAAAGGGGGACATCTAGGGAGACTTTTCTGGAATAGTGTTGTTAAGGGAAGAGTTCAGGTAATGTTTGGAGATAGGGAGTCAACTTCCCTGCTGTGCAGTTCGTCTGAGTTATATTGTGTGTGACTTTTTTTTTTTTTGCTATAGAGTATGTATGCTGGCCAGAGAGAGAGAAAAAATGAGAAACCATCGCCCTGGGAGAATGGCCATGTAGCAACCTGTTCTCCATTCTTCTCTCAGGATTTTGAACAGTGTACACATTCAAGCTGCCAGGTCTGGGACTCTTAACTGCATAGTCAGCCATGAGGGATCCAGCCTGCCTTAACCACCCCACCACCACTGGCCCCATGTGTCACATTTTTTAAAAACTTCCAGAATCGGGACCAGCAGTTGGTATAATAGCTATGTTGCTGGACTCCCATGTAGTAGACCATGGTTTGAGTCCCGGACCTCGTGGCTTAAACCCATGCCAGGCGCGTGCATGTGCGTACCCAAGATCTCGAAAGGAGAATGGAGGAGAAGGGTTTGGTGCATGGCGGCCATCCCCCAGGGGGTGATTTCTCGCTTTCTGTCTCTCTGTCTTTCTGGTGAGTGCATGTGCCCTTTAGCAAAAGAACACTCAAATAAACAAACAAACAAATAAAAAAACCTGCCAGAATCACTTGTTTTCCCCTGCATTAGAATGACCAAGCAAATAATTCACGGTAGCACGATTAAGACATTGAATATATTCACTTATCAAAAAATGCTTGGTACTGGGGCCAACCAATGGCATGGTAGTTAAAGGCACTGGACTCCCACCTGGCCAACCATAGTTCAAATTAATAACAACAATAATAAATAAAGTTAAATAAAATCATTTTAAAAGTTAAAAGAAAGGCAAAACTATCAGATAGTGTAATGGTTGTCACTGGACTCCCATGTAGTTGACCGTGGTTCAAGTCCCAGACCCGGCAGCTTAAAACTCAGGCTGAGTGTGTGTGTGTGTTTGTGCGCATGCCCAAAATCCTGAGAGGAGAGTAGAGGAGAGTGGAGAAGCAAGGATTGCAGCATGACCATCTCCCCTGTGGGGTGATTTATCACTTTCTGTCTCTGTCTCTCCGGTGTGTGCATGTGCCTTGTAGCAAAATCCTCTCTATTAAAAAAATATTGGAAACCACCGTCTCATAAACCTTATATTTATTTGGACTTTGAATCGCTGGCTCTCAGGCAACCCTTGCATATTAAAAGAGAACAAGGTCTCATCTACAATTTCAAGAACTATCTCCAGAAACTAAAGTCTGCCCACTCTCACCTAAGAGCTATGTTGCCAGAGAGTATGTGTATATATATATATACATACACATATATATATATATATGTATATGTATTTGGCCTGAGAAAGAAGGAAAGTGAGAAAGCAAACTGCCAAGTCTGGACTTAAACTGTGGTTGGCCGTATAGGAGTATAGCAGCTTAATCATCACTCCACCTGTTAGCCCCAAATAGTACAATTTTAAAGTCATTAAGTTTATCTGCTTTTACTTTTTTAGAATTATTTAACATAATTGGGGCCAGCAGGTGGTGTCCTGGTTGGGGGCACTAGACTCCTGCATGGCTGACCGTAGTTCTAATCCTGGACCTGGCGGCTTGCTTGCTCACTTTCTCTCTTTCTTTCTCACTCACTCTGTCCCTCTCTAGTCAAATTAAATAAATAAAATTAAATTAAATACTTCTCTTAAAAAATAATTATTTAATATTATTTTATTTAGTTATTTATTTGTTTTAAAGAATTATTTTATCTAACTTTATTTATTTATTTATTTTTAATTTGACCAGAGAGGAACAGAGCATGAGAGAGAGAGAGAGAGAAAGTGAGAAAGCAAACTACCAAGTCTGGGACTCAAACACAATCAGCCATGTGGGAGTCTAGCGCCTTTAACCACCGGGTTGAAACTCATGCTGAGTGTGTGTACGTGCTCAAGATCCCAAGAGGAGAATGGAGGAGAAGGGACTGTGGCGTGACCATCCCCCCCCCGGGGGTGATTTCTTGCTTTCTGTCTCTCTGTTTCTCTCTGTCTTTCTAGCGAACGCATGTGCCCTATAGCAAAAACCTCTCCAAAAAAAATTATTTTATTTAAATGTATTTATTTATTTTTCATTTGACTGGGGTGAGGAGGGGGAGAAAGAGAGAGAGAAACCACGCCACCAGGTCCTGAACTCAAACTGTAGTCGGCCATGTGGGAGTCCAATGCCTTTAACCACCAAGCCACCTGCCAGCCCCCATATCATTATTTTTTTAAAAAACTTGACTAGAGGGGGGAACCAGCAGTTGGTGTAATGGCTATGTCGCTGGGTTTC